ACTAAACTAAAACAACATTTTCAATAATGTCTTTTAAATGCCATAAAAGGCATGTTTTAATTAGTTGTTCAGTATTTATACGATAAGAAAATATAAGTTTGTTTTTGTGGCAAATATTTCATGAGAGAGAGAGAGAGAGAGAGAGAGAGAGAGCAAGTCATTATACTTAAGGACCAGAAAAATGTTAATTAAAAACTAATTTTCACCCGAAAAACAACTAACTTTTCTGTGTTTTGTATTTTAAAAATGCATTTTTAATTTAAATCCCATATTTCCCCTTTAAACTAAACTAAACTAAAACAACATTTTCAATAATGTCTTTTAAATGCCATAAAAGGCATGTTTTAATTAGTTGTTCAGTATTTATACGATAAGAAAATATAAGTTTGTTTTTGTGGCAACTATTTCATGAGAGNACTAAACTAAACTAAAACAACATTTTCAATAATGTCTTTTAAATGCCATAAAAGGCATGTTTTAATTAGTTGTTCAGTATTTATACGATAAGAAAATATAAGTTTGTTTTTGTGGCAACTATTTCATGAGATGGAGAGAGAGAGAGAGAGAGAGAGAGAGATTAGTATAGATTGAGTATTAAATACAACCAAAATATTTGTGTCACAAATACATTGAAAACACTTATTATTATTTCAAATCAAATCTACAAAACATGAAGAAAACAAGTCATAAAATGTACACAAAAAAAGTTCCTTTAAAACGAAACGAGTATTTCTTTAACTAATAATAAATAATATTATAATAAAAACCTCTTTTCAAATGAAAATAAATAAATAATAACAGAAAATAAAATAAATTAAATCCTGAATAAAATTAAACAACAAAAACGAGAGAGACTTTTAAATTGAAAATAACACAAACAAAACAATACATAAGTTATAACATTAAAATAAACACACATTTTGTGTCCCAAATGAACATTTCAATAGACAATCAAAAAATACATTTATATTTTATAAATGCATTTATAAATTGCATTTATTGCTAAACAAAAGTTATTTCAAAAACAATTTTTATTTCCAATCAATCAGTCGATGAAAATAATAGATAACGAAATCAATTAAAAAACACAAATCAAGTCCTGAATTATTAATGTTATAAGCGATTAGGAAATTAGATAATTGTTTAGTGAATTCATATAATATTCACATATAATATGAATGCCATTAATAATTAAAAGCAATCAATTGATTGATTTTGTATAACAATTGCAATAAATTTAAAAAAATATCACAAAAACTTTGGAGGAATAACCTCTAAGACAAGACACACATACCTATCGATCCACGAAATAAACGCCTTAACGGAGGCCAATATATCGGACACCGCGGACAGTGTCTGTGTGGACACGCGTTCATCACCGGCAGTACTTCCACTGCCATTGTCTGTATCGTTATTATTGTTGGCAATCATGAGATCTCTCTTGAGTTGATTGTAAAGACTGCGGGCTTTGCAGCCGAGCCGTAGGGCCAGCGACTGGAGTGTCTCCGAACCGAAGTTATAGTGTAAATGCTTGAGGAGGTCGACGGCGTCGAGGATCAGCTCCTGGTGACCGACTTTGCGTACGTTTAAGTGGTTGAGATCGTCGCACGACAGCAACAATAGTCGGCACCCATTGATGTTGTTGTTGAGGAAGAATTGGACGTACGGTAGGATACAGTCGTCTAGACCTGGATGTGTGTGTGAAATACGTGTGAATTAGTGGTCAAATTAATTGCTAGTTATAATGAGAATTAAAAATGAAGTTTTATTTTTGAAAATGATTGCAAATATGGGCTAAAAATAAAGTTTGGATTACATTTAGATTGATATCTAAAATGATTTTAAAAAACTAATTATTTGATTGAATTTTAAACGACTTATGATTTTGTTGCTGTTTTTCTGTTTGTTTTTATTTCTCTTATCGTTTCAAACGAAATGATAATTTATTGTAATTATATTTATTACTTATGCTAATCGTGTAGATTTGGCGCTACAATTATCCTAGTTCAATTTATTGATTGAGATAAATGCATGGGAATTGGGAGGAGAGAGAGAGAGAGAGAGAGAGAGAGAGAGAGAGAGAGAGATTGTGGAGGCAATAAACCTACTCGTAATATACAGTAGATTATGATTGTGTGACCGATGCCTCTATGAGAGCGCAAACAAACATTTTCAGTGCCATTTGGATAACAGTCTATGTGTTTATATATTTGTATGTATGTATGGATTGTGTGCACTGTATGTACAGTATGTATAGCACCGGGAGATAGAGAATAGTGATAGAGAAGCCAGTATTTAGCTTTTGGATTGCATTCAATTGAATGCAAACGTTTGCTGAATCAACCATTTCTCTCTCTCTC